ATCCAATCAGAGCGTCCTCCTTTGGTCCTGGCCTGTAGGCGTTGCCTGGTGGTGGTGCTGTTGGGGGTAACTAGGGTTCATCATTGCGCTGCTGCAGGCTGCACCTCGCACGGGGTACCACCTTTCCGTGGGTTTCTGGATAAGCAGCGTCATTCACACACACACCCTCGCTGCTGCAACCTCGCCTGGATTGCCATTGCCAAGTGGCCTGGTGAAGCGTCATTAGGGCATGTACAATGGTGTCATATGGATACATATGCCCCATGCCAAAAAGTAATTTGAGGCATCTATATTTATTTTTTCTTTCCAATGCAAGCTACCACTAGTGGGCCTTATTAAGAAATAGAAAATAAAGACTCTAATACACATGCATCTCTACTTTTTACTTCAACCTTTTCAGCTTTTGTCATCGGACTACACTTTTTCTCTTCAAGCATCCGCCTCCTGAAGAGGATCCCGCTTCCCTATCCGAACTTACTTTACGCCATATCCGATCCTACATGGTATACGAGGCATCACCTTGAGGCTATGCATTGTACATGCCCTTACCTCGCCGTAACCAACACTGACTGCCGTCAGAGGTCAGAACTCAGAAGGGCAGCACAATGCCAGAAACTAAGCAGGCCACCGTACTCCAACGACGCTGGCTGGCGTATGCACTCATTTGTCTCTACTCCCTCCATTCCACAATGTAGTGTTTCCTCTATCCCCGTGCTTCAACTTTGACCGTAAATTTAACTAGCAAGACCGATTGCGGCGGGAGCAAAAATTATATCAGTGAATTCGTATTCGAAAGAAGTTTTCAATTATATAATTTTTTCTTCCGCCGCAGTTGGTCTCGTTGGTTAAATTTATGGTCAAAGTCGGACCTCAGAAAACGCGGGCGCACTATATTTTAGAATGGAGGGAGTACTACTTATAGATAGCACGGCCACCACGGCCCACTGGCCCTGGAAAGCCTAAGTTACCGCGTGCGTTTTACCGGCTGGCCCGTACGCATGTACACGTAATGGACGAACACTGAATAAGTGCAGCGCCGTTGGCGAGCGGGAGAAGTAATTCGGCAGCAGTGGAAGTGCGAGGGCATGTTGGCGCTCACCGCTCGGCGCCACCAGCCGGCGACAAGTGGAGGGGCGTATAAAACGGGCGATCGGGGCGGCAGGGCGCCCGGCGACGCGCGGTGGCTCACATGGGGGTGGCAATAGAGAAACCCGAGATAGATAGAGTAGAATACTGGAGCTGCTACGAGCGGGACGGGGAGAGCCTCTGAAACTCTGACGGGAGCGCGGCAGCGCGGAGTACAATATTTTGCGTCCTCGTGATCCCAGACACGCAGGCAGGCGTTGGCGATCCAGATGCTGGAATGAGCGTTTGTTTATCCTGCCATCGGGTGCTGGGCTTACGCTACTGCCGCGTCAATTCATTCATCCGGTTTGACAAAGAATTACCACCTCCTCTGAATATGCCCCTGGCGCCGGAGCATGAATGTGCCCCCGGCCTCGGTAGCACCAACGCCTGCGCCTCGGCCGCCAGCAGCAGCGACGGTGCACGGTAATTTTGCTAGCAAACCACCAGCATTGCACATCTGCACAATGCTTCTGTCTGCTACTCGGCTTGTGCATTGGAAGACAGAACTGCACGGATCAAAGCCGGGCTCACGCGCGCATCTTCTGCACGTACGTACGTACTGACGTGCGCGCTGGCAGCTTGTGCGGTCAATGCCACGGCCCCTGTCCTCTACCTCTAGCCTCGATATACAAATCATCAACGAAGCTAATGAGAGAGGTCCGTCACCGCCGGGGCGAGATGGATGGAAGGAGGGAGGGAGGGATCAAGGAGCACAGATTCGCTGCGAGTTAATTAAGCGGGAGGGGGCGTGCGAAGCGGGCGAGCGTAGTGGGGGGTGTCGACCCGGCTCACATGCATGCATGCGCCGTGGCCGGCCGGGGTGGCGAGCGAGCGTTGCCGTGGGCTTTTGCTGTGCTGGCCCCCCGTGCAGCTAGCTCTTGTTGCCCGCCTTGGTCGCCGGCGAGTGAGGTGAACAGAACAGTGCGGCTCACGACTCCGGGCACGTGCTGCCACGTGCGCGTGCGTGAGAGCACCCACCCTGCCCGCCTGCACCCCCCGGCGGGGGCGGCTTTTGGGTGGGGCCGCGGCGGTGCCAAGGCAGCCAGCAGATGCGGACGGTTGCCTTGCCGCGCACCGCAGGCAGGCAGGCAGGAACCGGCGAACCAGCTTAGCTAGGCTATGCATCGCCACCCTCACCTTGATTGCTGCAGTTACTTCCATCCTCTTCGGTCGAGTTGCTGCCTGCCTGCTTTTGTTCCGAGTACTCCACTACCAGTACCGTAGTACGTGGTAGCATCCCGGTAAGAAAACATTGTTTCATTTGGCCTCTGCACTATCCAGTACAATTTGAACACGGCCCCAACCGTACTGAGCGGTCAAAACTCCAGACAGTTCAGGGGACTGCAACCGCGTACGATCGATCGTATTCAGGTGGTGGTATACGCTACGGCCGGCAGTGCGAGAATCCTTGGTCCACCTTTCCGTAAGCAAAGGTAGTAGTGTCGGTACTCGCGAGGATGAGCTCTGCTCGACTCATTCCCTCCCTTTTCGACAAAGAAAATAAAGGATGTTTCCAGAGTGTCCTCTACACGACAGCAGAGGAAACAACACGTACGTACGCACGCTTCCTTTGCTTCGGAGAAGAAAAAGGCTCTGCACGTAACTGTAAAGCCTCACGCCTAGCAAACACACTTCTCCTGGTTTCCGCCCAAGCTCTGTGCCGTGCTTCCATGCCTTTCGTTTCATCACGATCGATGAAGAGGAACCGTCAGGGCATCTCCAAAGCTGACCCGTCTGCACCGTGCTATCTGAACGCAGTTTGTCACCAACGCGGTCTCTATTGATACCAGATTTTGACATGATCAAAAACATAATTAAGGAAGCCTCAAATAAAAAAATGCTCAAAGTGAGAAAGTTCCGTATCGTCAAAAGAAGAAACTTTGATATTTAGACTATAGCTCATCTCTAAGACCGAAGTTGTATTCGAAGTACTGAGGTTTTGTATCCAGAACACTGTTCGGCTGATTACGTCGCCAAGACGGCCTCATATGGAAAAACTGATCTACACGAATTGTATTCGTCCGTCGAAATGATCGACTTTGATATAAATATCGTCTTAATCCAAGGCCGTATGCAAAAGTTAGAGCCCGCACAGCCTAATCCTGCAGTGGGCAAAATATGACGCCTGGGACTAGGCACGTATGTGAGTATGTCTAATGAGTTGCTTGAATAATTACATGTTTTGCGCGAGCAATTTGGCCCTGAAGATGGCCTCTAATCGGAAAACGTTCAACACGAAAGTTGTTCGTCTCGTCAAAACGAATAAACATGCCTTTGATGCATTCTCATCGGAGGTTGTTTACTGCCTCAAAAGTGACCCACAAGGTGCAGCCAGGTTGTAAACCAAACAGTTTTGAAAAGTTCGGATTTTGAGTTGGACCCAAACTAGGGTTTTGAACGTGAATTCTAACCTTTCCTTGCACGGGAAGTCCATCCGCCTCTTACATACTTGAGCGGTGACGGCCGATTGAAAACACAACACACAGTCGCAAAACCCATCTACAAATTTTTATCTCCTACCCTAGTTTTCTGCTTCTCGTTCGTCGGTGTTCTTCGCTTTAGAGAGCTTCGATCTACGAAGTCCTAGGGGCGGGCGAACCGACCTAGGGCAGCCC